AAAGATAATGCAGAAAAAAAAAAAAAAAAAAAAAAAAAAAAAAAAACGGGGGGGGGGGAGGAAATCTCCTGAGCTCTCTGGCCAAAATTCACAGCCTAAAAGATGATTTTTCTACTTAACAGATTCTGAATTATTTATAGAATGGTACGTACCTGCAGACAAGTCAGGCAGGTACGTACCCAGCACGTAACCAGCTTCCAGAGTTAAAACCTCATACAGGTACTAAAGTTCAACTCATGATATTTGTTCTTTATGACTAATTCTTAGTAAATAAGAGATGAGTCATGGTCCAGGTATTAGCGGGACCGGCCTAAATGAGAGCTGAGGTTACTCCCCCCACTTCCCCCTTAGTATCAATCACTCTGCAGTAATATAAGTAGCCCTGAAATACGCATTAGAGTTTGCCTGTATCTCCAGAAGATGAACAGTTGAGACCAAAACATTAAGCATTGCCCTTGTCATTCAAAATTGTAAAGGGCTGGGCTCTAGCTATACAATCTAGAGCCTATCCCTTTGCGAAGTCATCCCTGCAGCCACTATTAGCAAAGAGTTAACAGATAATTCATACTTCATTTTGCAGATTTGCCTCTTTTTTCCCCCCACATAGTCCATTTCTTCCCAACAAAAAAATTCTTCAAGCATTTTACTACCTACCATTCATATAAACATCACATCCTTTTCTTATTGCTAGCAATTTGGTTTCTGCAATCATTGTACAAATAAGTCCCATTAGCTAATTGTTTGCAGTGACAGAACAGTTTTTAAATTGCTTTTAAGTTTAACAGCCTTGAATTTCATTTCCTTCTCTTCATATATTATGAAAGAAAGAAAACAAAACCCACTGCATTCGTTATCACTGCAAGAGTCAGCAATAACATCTATTAATCCTGAATTTTGGGGGGTTTACTTTTCTCTGAACTAATTTAAGTCTATTCAGCATCTCCAGAGAACAGAGACTTTTCCACGCTAAACTGACAGACCTTGATGTTTTTCTGTGAACCCCTCCTATTCCTGCTGTGCTGTTTCTGAAAGATATGTATAAACCCCAGTGTTATTTATTATGGAGGGGTAAATGACTGAGAGCAGGTCAAGAAATACAGGTTATTTGCCATAGAAAATGGGGGGGAAGCACAAATGCCTTTCAAAAGATGTGGAAAGCTATGCAAAAAAAACCCCAAACAAACAAAAACAAACAAAAAAACACTAAAGAAAAAGATTTGGTGTTTTGAAAACTAAAACCAAAACCTGTTTTTGTAGTGACTCAAAGTAATTATTGCCCTCTCCAGATTTACTTTTACAACAAAAACAAAAAGCATTTTTCAAACAACCCCTAAAATTTCATGCAGGAAGTTCCATTAAGTCTAAGGCTTGAAATTCGATTTAAACAAAAACAAGCTGGCTCTGTGAAGTCATTTACATCAAGGTGAAAAGTCATCATGCCTCAGGATACACAAGCTGATCACCAGCTGGAACTAAGAAAAATGAAACCCCAGGGCAGAGTATTGCACAATCTGTTCTATTATAGAGTGTTTGTACTTCCCTCTAGTGTACGGGCACTGATCACTGGATGCTCCATTAAACTGACCATTCGTTTTCCCACTGATACAGTTTCTATGTTCCTTCAATAAAACAAGTTAAACATTAAGCTCATAAAGATCAGACATCTATCAGATCGTGTCTCTTGCTTGCTTAGATGCCCCAGGATACTTGCATGAAATTACTCATAAAATTACTATTTTAAGCCAGTACCAGACTAAATTCTTACAGAACTAAACATACAGGTTATGGGCGATGCTTTGGTTAGCAAGTACGTTCTTTCCTGTTGGAGCATAGTTCCAGTCCACCTCGCGGATCCCCAGGTAATAGACTCGGGTGACTCCTCCAGTAAATGTAGGTGATAGCATGTGGATGTAAAGCAGCAACAACCAAAACAATCCCATCATAGCCTGAAGTGAAGGCACTTTTGGAGGTTACACCTATTTGGGAGAAAAGAAAAACAAAGGTAATGAAACAGAAGTAGAATATGACCACATGGTTTGAAGGTACTGGGCATTTTGAGAGGGTATGAAGAAGTCAGGCAGAAGTCCTATTTGGATCATTATTCAAATATCCAAGAAGGAAATCTATATAACAAAACTCCTATAACAAAATTAATGCACAAGGTGGATGGAGATTATGCTTTGCTAGTCAGTCCCCAATACCAAACGTGCTTCTCATAACAGTTTGATTAACCTTTTTTTTTGTCTGTAGTTCTCTTCCAAATGCTTTGTTCCATAAAGTTGAGAAAATACTGCTAATTCAGCAAGCTTTCGCACAGTATGAGATGAGGTAAACAGATTCACAGCAAGCGCTATGTTAGCAGAAAAGGCACCTATAAATCATATATGCTGTGTAACTGCCTTCTTTGGGCAGCAGAGTCCTGAGCAGAAAGTGCCACACATACTGGAATTTCAAGTGACTGTTTTTTCACCATCTCTGATGTCCCAAATCATCTTACAGGACCACATACAAAGCTCAGGGAAATAATCCTGAGCAAGTATCTTTATATTTTAAAGCATTGCCAAGATCTCTCTATTCTACTAAACCACTTGAGGAAGTACGATTTAGTCAGTATGAAGTAATTTTAAATTTTAACTTCTTCAAAGATTGCTTTTAAAGAGCTGTCCTCTGTAATCCAGGGAGTGCATCTCAAATGGGCTGCACAAGGCTTCTTGCTTAGTCTAGTTCCATTAAATATTTTCCCCATGATGTAGATCACTAAGTAAGGAGCTCACTCATAAAACTTCCAAAAGACACTAAGCTCGGTGTGAATAAGCACCAGAAATACTCCAAAGAGAGATCCAGGGCAAGTTGCAGAAATTGTCTGAAATCATCAAAATACCATTCTGTGAATACAAGTTCAAAGAACTACCTGTATGAAGGAGAAACTGATGCAATGTGGGGCAGCAGAATTACAAAGGATAAGACAATAGCTTAGGATTAAAATGGATGACAAACGAAATAAAAACCCACATGAAAATGCCTAAGAAAGATCTCATCCAGTGATATAATTAACAAAGCTGGATGCAACCAATAATCAAACTGCCATCTAAAACAGATGTCCAGCTCTTTAGACACATAACAGCAACTTCGAAAACGTTCAGCAGAGAGAAACCGAAAGCAAGAGAATTAGAAAAATGTGACCTAGCAAGAAAGCTTAAAGGAATCAGTTTTCTTCAACTTCAAAAAGAAGGGGATGGTGACATAACACCATGTCAAAGACAGAAAGGTTTTTTTATAAAGAGGTTGTCATTATTTATTCTCCCGTCTTTGGTAATAGCAACATGAATATATCAGGTTTATTTGCAGCAAAGGCAGATATTCTGTAAGCTTTCAGCTAGCATGGCATCACACTAGAACAGCTTTCTCAGAGAAGCTGTTAAATCTCTTACCACATCCGATACCCAATATATGGATTCAACCCCAGTACATGGCAATGGACTAGGTACCTTCCAAACCTGTATTTCTGATTTCCAGACATGCTGTACTATCTTCAGAAGCTAATGATAATCAAGTATTACTGATTCCAAACAGTCATTAAATTGAGAAGTTGAGAGAAAGCAACTCTCAACTTGGAAAAACCTTTCCCTCCTGTCTCAAAAGGGGGCTGTAGGGATCTCTCTAAATCCGAGATAGTTTTGATCCATTAACGCAGTATAGCTCTGCTCCAGCGGCTCCATCAGCAAACCCTTCAGAAGGTCCCGGTCACACACCTGAAGAAACTCAGGTACAGAACAGCCCCTTCCCCATGGCCCTAGCAGAGCGGGGATGATGGCAGAGCGCTTCCTCTATCTCACTGCTACACACGGTCCACTAACCTCACCCACCTTATTCCCTGCTACTGCTGCTCCAGTAACCGGTGGTGTTCACGGGGAGGTGAAATACCTGCACTGACCCACCCATTCTGTGCCAATAAAGAGGTTTCAAAGCAAGGAGTTCAGAAAGCTGTACCTGTGCTGTTTCACACACACGCCATAATAGCAAAAGGCAGTGGAGACAGCGACAAGGAAAGACAAAGCTGGTGGCACCAGGCCTCAGCCTGAAACCTCCCATCCTGTTGGCACACACCCTGCTGGGAAGGGCAAGGGGATGCTTTTGACTCAGCTGAAGAAGTGGCCTTCTTGTCAACACGGATCAAAGTACATAGGCGCAGCTTTCTGGGGAGAGCATGCCCGGTGCATGGGGTGGCCGTCCTCGAGGACTGGGAGCAGCTGAGCCCAGGGAGTCAGTGTGGGCTAATCTTTATGCCCTCAACCTTAATGGTTTTTGCAAGCAATATCAAATCCTAGGAAAGGACAAAGCTTAGACTTTATACCAAGGACAAACAGCAACTCTTGGAGTTGGTTGTGAAAACTGTCTACTGAGACAAATCCCAGCTGCGTCAGCCCACTATTTCTACGTGGCAGAGTCCTGGCTTACCACATTAAAGCTCCACGCTGCAGCATCAGTAAACTTATCAGATAAATCAGACTCGACCAGAAGTCATGGCAATTAAATACCTTGTGAATGTGCTCTGGCATTCAAAGTCATTAACAGAAGTCCCGTCTGGACCTCAGGCTGGAGTTTGATCACAACATTGCACATACCTCTGTGGCAGTTTTAGGAAACAGCAAAACAGCATCGCTCAATGAAGATTCAGCAGGCTAGACTGATTCTGTTCTCATATTCTCTTTACAGTGACTAATCACCATTTAGTTACTCTACTAGTCCAAGGTGAAGGAAACCAACAACCTTAAATTCGTTTCAAAAAAGTTATTTTTTCTTTGAAATATATGCCTTGATTAAGAAAAAAACCCCAACAACCCAGACTGTATTCATCCCTGAACCTTGATACTTTATAGCAGAATCCTTACTCCCAGGACTTCCCTTTGCTGATTCACTAATAGTACAGGAATTGCAAATGAATGGAAAATTAGATTTCAGTCTACTTGGTAGCTGACCGACTTCCATTTTATCAAGGCAGACGGGCTGACCGCAGGGGTCTTTCCCGACACTTGACTGCAGAGAAACCATTGCCCAAGAAAGAGGGGGAAAAAAGTATTAAATGAATGAAGGAAACCATTTCGTCCCTTACTTGCGGAGCAGGGCTGGACGCGGGCTCTGCTGGAAGGGCGAGGGCGTCAGCTGGGAGACATCTCCCGCGGCGGGAGCCTACAGAGTGAAGATGCACAAGCGCCAGAGGGGACAAAGTCTGGGCTGTAAAAAGGGGCGCTGCCTCGCCTCCCGCGGGCAGGCC